AGAGAGAGAGAGAGATAATAAAGAGAGATAAAAAAATATAGCCAGTGTGTCTGCCCTCGTATCGATCAGCGTATATATACTATATATATATGTATGTATAATAAAACTGTGAAAAAACGAGTTTCAAAAACGAGAACAAAACTGTCATCAGAGTGTATCTGGTCTGACGATTCGACCTGTAATGTCGAAGTCTGGGGTTCTGCAACGACATCGCATGGCAAGGCTCTGGCCGACCTGCAAAAGATACACACACACAAAAATGTTTTTTTTCTTTTCCTTCCTGTCTTCTCCAGAAGATCTACAATGGAAGTGGTTGAAACAGATGTAATGAGTCCCCACGACGACGACGTATCCCGAAGTGATAGAATAACAGGAAATTAACCTATTCCTTCATTTCGAAGCCTGTTATCACAATCATTTGGAATAGATTATCTCTACGATTTTTTTATATTTAAACGAAAATTCATACGTATAATTATGTATGATTTGTATATCGTATATCGAGAGACGTTGAGAAGCTCCGCTTTAAAGTGGATCATCATCAACAATACATGGTGTTCCTAAACATTCATCCATGTGCTAAGTGTGATTGACATAGCTTAATTTTGGTGATTAAATGGGAACTAATGGACTCTATGTCATAATAGAAATCCGAATCTAAGGTAAACTTGTTATGTCACAACTCAAATATAATCTACGCTTATAATCTAATCCAAATTTAACCCAAATTTGATCCAAACCTAAACTAATCTACTGCGATTACCTGACTTTAAATTTTATATAGATAAATGATGGATATTAAAATTTTCACACAATTTCTTGAAACTAAATTATTCAACAACAAAGTTATCCAATAAAGTTTTAATTACATGGAATATAATTATCATTTGTATGAATTCTGAAATCTCGTGTAACATTTTGAATTGATCGCAATTCAAGAATCGATTGCATGTTACAAATTCCAGATGAAATTATCAAACATTTTTATCTTTTATAATTCTATCGTTTTTTCTCTGTTTGTTGGTTTTTTGTCGTTTGATATTTTAAATAATACTTTGTTCACACAAAATTCTAAATTTTATAAAATAAGCTTAAGCACTTTCATGTATGATTACACTTTTAATTAATCTCTTTAAAAATGATTAAACCGAGAATTAAATTGTTTTTTTTACTTTCAATGTATAAGACGTTAATTTTATCGAAAGTAAATTTTTAAATAAAATCCCCAAGAATAAATAATTCAAAATTAATATCTATTATCTAGTAGTGGCAGTCATGATGTCAAAAATGAGTGATCCATAATCATCAACCGGTGTAAATCTTCTTACCCGAAATCCTCTATTAATCTTTGAATTTATAATTTATTGGACACGTTAATAATTCAGCGTACGGTGACACAGGAGAATCGCATAATGTTGCGTAGAGGAAGGGCGATTTATGTAACCTCGGGGATTCCTCGACGAACTTCCAAGGTCGTCCGAACTTTGAAACGAATACTTTTATTCTACGTCGTACGACGCACGCTGGTTTTGTGCTTCCTTTTCGTCCGTGGGCCGAAAAACTTTTCCAGATTTATGAAAACATAGCGTGAATTTTCTAACCGCGGAAAAAAGAAGTAAAGTTCTTTCCTTCTTCTTACAGTTTTATCCTTCCTCGAATCCCTTTCCCCAGTTCTTAACCAACCACTGTTTTCCATATTAATGCCTTCAGCCGTGGAAAACCGTGTAATATATTTCATAAAAGATTCATGAATTTTCAAACTTTTGTTTTTAATAAAAATATTGGAAATATTTAATAATAATAATAATAATAATAATATTTTTTCTCGTGTAAAATAAAACAGTTAACAGATTAGATAAGCAAAATAAAACAATCTGGTCGTACAAATAAATTGGGATATCCATCGTGATATCAATCATAAAACTCGAGTCACTTTGGATTTTCCTTATTTTAATTCGAAACATTTTATTTCATCCCGATATTTTTTTTTTTTTATGAAAACGTTATTATAATTGCATAAAAATTTAGATCCAACAAAAATGTGTATTGCGTAAATTTTAGCAGGAAGGAAATAATTATATATAATACAAACATTGTGACATTAATCCTTAGTACGTGCTTTTAACAAGATGAATTTAATTATCGTAATTAGACCAGCTGTTTACATGATCGAAATAAATTCCACGATACGCACGATGATCGATAATAAAACGATTCGTCATGAAATCCATTCTTCGTAATTTCTATCTATTCGATTCTAAATGCTATTTCAAAAATCGAGAAAAATGATTTATCCATTTGAGCATGTAAAAAGTTTCAAGGATCCTTCAAAGGATGTTGAGCCGGAAGAGGTTCGAAGGCAGAAAGACAGGAAGATAAAATAACTTCCAGACAAGATGCATCCTGGCAATAAATCACCATTTCTCGAGCTACGGTTAAAAATAGTTCTTGAGACAAGACAAAAAAATGGTATTTTGTTCGTAGCAAAAGAGACTTTAAGATTTATAAAAAGGTATAGGAGGAAGAAGATATTAAAAATATAATATATGAAACAATATTTCTTTTTTTTTTTTTTGCATATAAATTCAAATAATTTGGAATAAAATTAAGAAAATTGTAATACAAAAATTCCTAGTAAAAATCGTTGTAAACATAATCGATTAATACGAAATATTGAAAAAATGGAAGAAATTTTCAAATTATATTATTTTAAAAACTATTTGCTTCTTGAAAATAATATAAAAATATTGTTATCAATATTTTTAACAATATTATCAACACTATTGATCAGTGTATTTTAATGGCTCTAATATTCCTTCATGAATATTCTCGAAATATTTGAAGACACGCTCGACTTTCTCATCAAGAAATTTATCTCGATTTCTCACGGTCAATTATCGAATCACCCTCCAGTAACCGCTTTAATCCACCTCCACAATTCCATTTCCTCCCTCTATTGATGATCGATTAAATTTGCATACGAATTGATTTAAAATTGCTCTACTCGCGATTCTCCCTCAGGAGAAATCCCACGTTGCGACTCTTTTCACCAACATTCACGATTTCATATTCCAAGTAAGTGTTGGTCTCTCTGAACACGCGATTAACGCGATTAAACGTGATTCGTTTGGAATTAATCTCGACCGAACCTTGCACTCGTTTCTTCGAAATTTTCAACAATTGATATCGTTATTCATTTCCTATCTTTTACTACGTTTCAATCAGTGGAACGAATATTTATATAATCTTTTAAAATTTACACAAAGGATATAAAAAGTATTTATTAAAATAGATAAAGTGTTGAACAAATTTTTTTATTCCATATAATTTTTAAAATTGTAAAAATGAAAAGAGAGATTCGATGAAAATTCCTTTAAAAAAAATTAGAGATCAATTTTATTCCAAGCTCTGAATAACAAAAATTTACGATAAATTTAAAAAAGGAAGAAAAATTTCATTTTCAAAAATCATATTTTTTTTTAAATATATGAAAAATAATTTACAATGACGATTCACCGAAAAAACTGTTAAGTTTCTTGAAATTTTTCACCCTAAAAAATTTTAATCACTTTACATCTGTAAACAGTTTGTACGCGACACAAATTGCAATAATGCATCCATGATATGACATCGTATTGCGGTTTGCATTAACTGCCGGTGAAACGTCCACGCGTCACAGATGGAATATATTCGACATTTCGCGGCCTGACATTAATTTTCACGATGATGCTTCGCGCATTCGTTGAACATTGTATAAATGCGACCATTTGATATCGAACGAATGCTTCTTTTAAATCTTCCATTTTATTTAATTGACAAGCAAATGGACCGAGAGAGGAAAATTCGCGATGTTACTTTTTCACGAATTTCTTTTTAATAAAAAAAAAAAAAAATACGACCGATATATTTAAATAGACGGTTATTATAATATTTTCCAGGGGAAAAATGAATAAACTATTAATCTAAAGCTAATGAAATTCATAATGTTATGAAACCTATTAAATTTCTGTATTCTTTCGTTAAATATTCCAAATATTGTTTTAAAAATTTTAATAATCATCATTATGGATTTATTGATATTTTGCACGATGATAATGTTTCGTGTAATTTTATGTAGGAAATATATAGGAAAAAAGAAATCTTTAATTGTCTGTAAATAATTGTAACGATGAAATAATGAATTTATGTAAAATTTATTTCATATATATTATATGAATGATTGAATCTTTTTTTAATTGAAAATATCTGAGAATATGAAAATTAAATTATAAATAACCCAATATTTCATGTTAAATTGATAATTTTATGGAAAATTATTAGTAACATGTGTCTGACTACAAAGTGATCGTGTTCCTATATGATAAATTTTAAAAAAAGCCACATATCAATTAATTTTACGAGTTTTACAAAATTACAATATGCCAATTAGTTTCACGATACCTGGATGCTCGATTAATTACATAAATTCATGACGTTATCGAATAAAATTTTACAAATGTCATAGCATTATCTGATAATTCTGACATTAAAAATACAATTGTTCCCATTTTATTAATTAAATGCCATTAATTAATTAGGGTTAACCCATTATCAACTTAATATTTCATTAACAACCTTCAGCTTTTAATTAATTTACTTAGTTTTTAATTAAAATCAACTGAAACGTTTAAAATTTCTCGTTCCAAAATTTTTTTTCAATATTTAAATTTCTCCTAATAACTACATGCAAAAGGGAATTTCGAAAAGAATCAATAATTAAAAATTCATATATAATTATATAAATATATAAAATTAAATCAAGTCAAAACCATAAGAAACCTGTAATAAAAATTAAGAATGAAACATTATTAAAAAAAAATCTTCTTCCCACTCGCTGTTAAATATTTTTAACGCCAGTTTTAACATTTTTAAAGGTCATTTTCTACATTTTCCTGACCTGAGAAAAAAATAAAAGAGACGAGATTCTATTCGTTCGAGAAAAGTGAAAATTTGTCTCTCCCCCCCCCCTCCCCTCCCCCCCCTCCTCGCAAGGAATACTTCGTGATTGCATTTTTGAAGAAATAAATGATATTTCCGCGCGACGGTTACAGCGGTATATTTTTCCTCCACTAAATTGGAAGACTCGCTTGCATCCCCGCCGCCTTAATAAAAATCAAGCCTCGAAAGTAATTCGAAAAGTCGACTGACGTCGTTCAGAAAAAAAAAAAAAATTTTTTACATTTTGAAAGACAGAA